ACTCTGAGCTTGTATTACTGAATTGTATAGAGCTCAAATCCATGGTATCTAAAGGGCACACAAATTAAATTACATTAGTTTGGGGCCTACACTGGTCTTGTACATTTTATAATAACTGCTATAGGTATCCAGGAAGTGTCTGACAAGGATTTGTGTCAACTTCTAGGCCCCTGTATAAATGACATGTGTTTTCTCTAGTAAAAAATTAAAAAAAATACAAGAAAAACTTAAAAACAAAATAATAAACCATGGCATATGTTTGTAATTTATTCCAAAATGTCAAGAACTACGGATGTCTAAAAACGTCATAAGAAAATGTACTATCTAAAGGTAATTATAAAACAAGTAATTACTAATTAACGTAAATTAGAGTGAGAGAGGAAAAACTGTAATCAGGATATAGTGTAAGAGAAAATAATCTATTATTAATAAAAGGGAGAAATAACTAAAAAAATAAAAAATAATTTTTTAAAAAAGCCTATCAGACATTTAATAATCTTGTTGCCTTTGCTTTGAATTTTTGCACATTTACTTTGATTCAAATGTCTCCTATATATTTAGCTTCAACGTTCTGTTGAGAAAAATCATCTACATCTACAGGTCCACAAAGAATGGCAATGTTAATGTTTTCAAAGCAGTTGTTTGACGAGAATATCCACTGTGCTTTTCCTACATCTATTCTTAAGCAAAACTAGATCTCATCACTCAGAAATAACAACAGCAACGATGAAAATATTTGCATCTACTTTTATTAGGGAATGCAATTTCAATGAGAATTAAATAGAAAGTTGTTAGAATATTTATTATTCAGTCAAAGTCAAACCACACTTCTTTGAATGCTTGCTGGTTTTTAATTAAAATATTGTTAAATTATAAAAAAGAAGAAGGAGTTAGGACAGGCAGAGAACAAACTCAACACGTAATTAGTTCGCATGAGAGGATATGAGTATTGTCAGAGGCAGCTCTATGCATGACTCAGAAGAAAGCAAAACTGAGGGGATCTACCTGGGGCCTAGGTCTTTGAAGTTGAACAGTAAAATTCTCAAAATACAAGCCAAAATCCTAGCACGAAGTGGGGAGCTGGGCACCAAGTTTCACCTCTAACAGAGAATCTCTTGGAAATTATAGCAAAGGCTAGTTTTCTAAAAAGTGTAGCTCCCCAAAAGTCAACAATAATCCAGTGTAAAGATACATACATATCCAGGAATATTTAGACAGCACTAACTCCATGGAAGTGAGAAAAAAAAAATACAAACTTGTTGGAAAAGCAAGGTGGTAGATATGGAAAGAGTTAAAGGAAGAGGGCATGTACACAATTAACAAAGAACTAATGAAAATATTTTAAAAATTAGAAACCATATATAACAATGCCTATTGTATATAGATGGCATTTGGAAATATTTACCAAGAAACAGAATATTGCTTCACCCTAAAATGACCCCCAGCGTTTCTTCAAAATAAAATATGTAGTACCAATGTGTAGTTCATTCATTTTGTGTGATTTCTGATTACTTGCATTTGGAATATTATTTGCCATTCTTGTACTGAAGTTTTTGTATATGTGTGAGTCGTTAGAATTTGCTCTTAATTAGTACTGTTTTACACGCTGTGAATCTTTTCTGCCTCAGTTTTGGCGTAGCCTGGGTTCAGGTCCTGAGACAAAGAAGGGACATCGGCGCAAAGAAATGCACTGTCTGACCACCGGATGACTTTCCCATAAGTGGCCAGTCCCGGATAACTCCAACCATCTTTATACAACCAAAACAAGCATGTTTCTCCATACTAACAAACAAGTGTTTCCCATCCTCCGATGTTAACCTCCAGCATAACCAAATATGTCAAATACTCCTTTTTTTCCCCCCAAAACATTTTTAAACTAAAACAACACTAATTTGCTCGGTTGACCAAATATTGAGCCAGGTACATCTTGTTTTTACTAAACTAACATAGGAACATTGACATAGGCACATATTTTTAAGAATAACAATTCCGATCAAAACATAGTTACAGAAATTTGGGTGATCTGTCTGTGATCCTGTCAGCACTGAATCAGAACAGTTCCCAGGGGCTGAAGTGGCAGCTGGCATTCCCAGATGAGCAAAGGGGCCAAGATCATGATGCTTGATCACAGAAAGAGAAACAGCTGACTCCAGACCCTGGACTGACAGCTGCGGAACCTGTGCAAGACTGAACTAGGCCCTCTGAATGTGGGTGACAGTTGTGAGTCTTGGGCAGTTTGTGGGTCACTAACAGTGGAACCAGTATTCATCCCTAGTGCATGAATTGACTCTTTGGAGCCCATTCCCTGTGGTGGGATATCTTGTTCAGCCTAGATACAGGGGGTGGGGAAGGGGTCTTGGTCCTGCCTAAAGTGATGTGCCAGACTTTGCTGACTCCCCATGGGAGACATCACCCTCTCTGAGGAGTGGATGAGGGTGGGGTGGGAAGGTGAAGGGAGCGAGAAGACAGGAGGGAGGGGGAACAATAAAAACCCGAGAGGCATCAATTCCCAAAGAATTTTAGGGGAAGATACTTGAGGAAAAAAAAAATTGGGGTTTTCAGGAGTAATCACATCTGTACACTGCACGATTGACAAAATGACAATAAAAACTCCGAGATAATCATCAATATTATAAGAGAGAAGAGCACATGCAGGCCTTGGGGTCCCAGCAGTATTCTGTGCTGTCCCGAAGTCTGCTGGTTCCTGCTAAGTGAGATTGTCCCGTGGAACGTGCATCATCTGGAGACACTGAGCAAGCATTCATATCCTGGTCAGAAACTAGGCCACACAGAACACCTTTCTCTAATCCAGAGAAGCAGCGTAAACCATACATGAAACATTTTGATTTTTATTCCTTGTTGACACCTGTGGTAGTAACTTTTTTAAAAAAAAATTAAAACTGATTTATAAAGGAAAACAATCCTTTGAAACTGCACTTTGATTTCAAAGATGCTTTATTGAATTAAGGGGTAAATTGGGTCAATACTTTGGATAAAGTCTTAACAGAATTTTCTTTGCCTGTTTGTGCTTTACAACTTCATGCCTGAATTAAGATATTTATTCCATGCTGAAAGTTAGACATCTTTGAGAAGAATGCATCAAGGAAGAGTTTATAGTAAAGAAATTGTGAAATAAGAGATGAGGCTGTCTGATTTTTGGGAAATAGGAAAGAACCAGTGTTTTGGATTCTACACAATTTCATGTAAGCTTTCAAAGGAAACAAGACTCCTAGGATGGTTTCACAATGACCTCTGAAGTACCAGTTATCATTCCTACATAACCACCATTACATATTTAAAAAAATGTTTATCATGATGCAGTACGTGGTCAGATGACCATTATTCATTTGAGGTTTCCAGTCATAAACCATTGCAACATGAGACTATAAACCCAAACTTATTCATGAGAATAATTCGTGTCCAATTAAAAAAATTCTTCCTCGATGTACAACTTTTCCTTAATATATAAAATATTATCTTATGTTGATTGACACTTCATTATGCGTTCTGATCCTTTGTTTGACATTTAGAGCTTAGTTTTTTATTTAAAAATGATTTTCTGTTGTAATTACATTTTTTTCTTGACTCCTCTTTAGCTGGCATATTCTTCATGGCATAATCTTATTTAACCTTAATGCTCAATGACTACTGTAAAATATATATCACTAAGTCTATAGTTTGCATTGATTCATTTTAATTAGGAATGATTTTTCCTTTTTTAAAATTAAGCTCCAAGCTGAGCTGGGCAGTGGTGGTGCATGTCTTTAATCCCAGCATTCGGGAGGCAGAGACAGAAGGATCTCTGTGAATTTGAGGTCTTCCTAGTCTATAGAGTGAATTTCAGGACAGACTCTGAAGCTACACAGAGAAACCTTGTCTTGAAAACCCATAACCAAAACAAAGCAAAGCAAAGCAAGACAACAGAAAAGCAAAGACTAAGCTGAAACAACAAAAACTGCATTTTCCATATTTATAAACTATAGCATGCATAATAAAAACTCAGACAAATATTGGGGTTCAAGCTAAAGATCATAAAAGCAAAACAGTCTAGTCACTAGAGAAGTCTTACCTCTTCTAAGGCTGGGCAACTGCAGACTGAGCCCTGAGCTTCTGTCTCCTCCTGTTTTACAATCCCTTTATTGCTGGGATTAAAGGCTTGTAACTTCCTAGTACTAGGAATAAAGGTGTAAACTACCACCACCTGGATCAGTTTCTGCATTGATCTTGTGTAGCCCAGGGTGGCCTTGAATTTACAGAGATCCATCTGCCTTTGTCTCCCAAATCCTGGGATTAAAGAAGTGTAACACCACTACCTGGCCTCTAGTGGCTTAGTTTTACCCTCTAACCTTCAGACAGGATTTATTTATTAAACATAAATGAAATATCACTATAATAAGCTTTAATTTCCAGTGTGACCTTGAATAGCATTTGAAGATTTTAATTAGTGCTGTGTGTTTTATTACTTTGAGTTTGAAAAGAAGCAGGAGCTTGCATAGAGAGAATTCTTTATGAAGAGATTTAAACTTGCTATTTCCTGCCCTTTGGGAAGTCCAAGGACCACCCACCTCCATCCAGGTCTAGTAAGGTGAGCATCCACAAAACTGCCTAGTCTCCCAAGAAACCAATAGGTACAGTAGGATCAAAAATCCATTGCCATTGTTCTTGAGGTCTCAGTAGTCCTCATTGTCCACTGTGTTCAGCGAGACCAGTTTTAACTCAGGCTTTTTCAGACCCAGGATTGATCTTTGGGCTGACGGGGGAGGGGGACTTGATTGGGGGAGAGGGAGGGAAAGGGGAGGCGGCGATGGGGAAGAGACAGAAATCTTTAATAAATAAATAAATAAATAAATAAATAAATAAATAAATAAATAAATAAAAAGTATAGAGAACAAAAAAAACCAAAAAAACAAAAAACTTGCTGTTTACTTTTCCTATTAAATGATCTCACGTGTATCATGGTCTGACAAAGTATGAAAACTGTGTGACTGAATATTGAGGTATTAAGTGTGGATTCTGAATCCATGAGTAAAAGTTCTCTTGAGGGCCTCTTTTACTTCTTTGTTTCTTAGACTGTAAATCAATGGATTAAGCATAGGAATGACTAAGGTATAAAACACAGAGGCCATTTTATCAATATCAAAAGCATGACTGGATTTGGGCTGCAGGTAAATAAACAGCAGAGTTCCGTAGAATACAACCACCACTGTCAGATGAGAGCTGCACGTGGAGAAGGCTTTGGACCTCCCCTCCTTTGAGTTCATCCTGAGAATTGCCACAAAAATAAACATGTAAGATATGAGAACAATCAAGAGGGAGGAGAGTAAATTACAGCCTGAGAAAATTAATATGATCAGCTCTAATTCATGTGTGTCAGAACAGAGCAGAGATATCAGAGGGACACAGTCACAATAAAAATAGCTGATGACATTAGAGTCACAAAAGGACAGTGTAAATAGCTTAACTGTGAGAAGTAGTGACACAAATATGCTGTACAGATAGGGTACCAGTACCAGCGCCCCACGCACTTTCTCTGACATAATAGTCACGTAGAGAAGAGGTTTACAGATGGCTACATAACGATCATATGCCATGGCTGAAAGAATAAATAGTTCAGCAATGATGAAAATCTCAAAGAATGTCAGCTGCATAGCACACCCAATGTAGGAAATGGTGTTTTGCTGCATAACAAAGTTTACCATCATTTTTGGACCGATAACTGTGGAGTAACCAAGATCAGTGATCGACAAATGTCTCAGGAAAAAGTACATAGGAGTATGTAGTTTAGGGTCCAAATGAGTCAGAATAACCATGCCCAGATTGCCCACCAGGGTGACCAAGTATATGATTAAAAATATTCCAAAGAGTGGTGCCTTCAGGCCGGGGCTGGAGGTGAGTCCCAGGAGAATAAACTCAGTAACTTGGATCTTTGCCGTGTGGTTGAGTTTCCCCATTGGGCTTAACAATGACAACCTGTGTAGGGAGTAAGTTTAATATAAGTTATTTTTGATATAGTATGTCAAGAACATGCATATATTTTTTATATGAAATCACCAGTTCTGCTCCAGCTGAGACATATATAAAACAATATTTATATTCCACAAAAAATATTATACAGTGGACTTTAAAAGAGCAGAATAATAAAAATATTAGAATGATCTTCATTTTGTTTCCTCATTTCTTTCTGTTATTTATTCATTTAGTTATTAGATTTTTAAAACATACCAATCCAAGTTCCCACCCCCTTCCTCCTCCCATTACTTCCACATACCCCACCCCATCCAATCCTCAGAGATGGTAAGGTGCATTGCTTTGGGGGTGGTCCAAGGCCCTCCCTAGTATATCCAGGCTGAGCAGGTATACATCCAAAAAGAATAGCATCCCAAAAAACCTGAGCATGCAGTAGGAATAAATCCTGGTGCCACAGTGGATCATCAGTCTGCCTCAACAAGTCAACTGTCAACTACATGATTTTTGACAAAGAAGCTAAAATTGTACAACGGGAAAAAAGTATCTTCAACAAATGGTGCTTGCATAACAAGATATCACCATGTAGAACAATGAATTAGATGTTTATGTATTGCCATGTATAAAACTCAAGTCCAACTGGATTAAAGACATCAATATAAACCTGACAATATTGAATCTGATAGAAGAAAAAGTGGGGTGTATTCTTCAATGCATGGACACAGGAGAAAATTTCCTAAATATAACCCCAGTATCAGAGACACTGAGAGCAACAATAAATAAATGGGATCTCCTGAATCTGAGAATCTTCTCTAAAGCAAAGGACATGTTCAATAAGACAAAAAGGCAGCCTACTGAGAGGAAAAGATCTTCACCAACCCCTCAACAGACAAATGACTGATCTCCAAAATATATAAAGAACTCAAGAAATTAGACATTAAAATTCTAAATAATGCAATTAAAAATTGGAGTACAGAACTAAACAGAGAATTCTAAACAGAAGAATCTCAAATGGCCAAAAGATACTTAAGGAAATATTCAAAATCCTTAGCCATCAGGGAAATGCAAATTAAAACAACTCTGAGATACAATCTTATACCTGTCAGAATGGCTAAGATCAAAAACACCAATGACAGCTTATGGTGGAGAGGATGTGGAGTAAGGTGAACACTCATCCATTGCTGGTGGGAATGCAAACTTGTGCAAATGCTTTGGAAATCAGTACGGTGGTTTCTCAGAAAATTGGGAATCAACCTACCTCAGGATCTAACAATACCACTCTTGGGCATATACACAAAAGATGCTCAATTGTACTAAAAAGCATTCATTCAGCTATGTTCATAGCAGCATTATTATAATAGCCAGAATCTGGAAACAACTTAGATGCCCCTCAAACGAAGAATGGATAAAAAAAAAATGTGGCAAGCCGGGCGCTGGTGGCGCACACCTTTAATCCCAGCTCTCTGGAGGCAGAGGCAGGCAGATCTCTGTGAGTTAGAGACCAGCCTGGTCTACAAGAGCTAGTTCCAGGACAGGCTCCCAAACCACAGAGAAACCCTGTCTCGAAAAACCAAAAAAAAAAAAAAAAAAAAAAAAAAAAAAAAAAAAGAAAGAAAGAAAATGTGGCACATTTACACATTAGAGTACTACTCAGTGTTAAAAAAAATCAAAAAGCAAAAAAAAAAAGACACTTGAATTTTCCATGCAAATGGATGGAATTAGAAAACACTATCCTGAGTGACCCAAAAAGATGAATATGTTATGTTCTCACTCATAAGTGGATATTAGCTATAAACAAAGGACATTGAACATATAATTCCTGATCCCAGAGAAGCTAAGAAATAAGGTGAACCCAAAGAAAAACATATAAAGATCCACCTTGGAAACAGACAAGATTGCCTGATAAAATTGGGAGCATGGACATGTTCAATAAGACATTAAGAACGGGTAAGAAGGGAGCTTAGAAGGGGCATGGGAGGGAAGAGGGGATGGCTGAGGAGAACTTGAGGGAATGGGATAGTTGAGATGGAGCAAGGCTAGACATGAGAGCAAGGAAAAAGATATCGTTCTCTGTTTTGAGACTTGGTCTTTCTATGTAGCCCAGCGTGACGTGGAATTTGTGTTCTTAATGTCTCTACATCAAGAAAGTCTTCTGTAGCTTCTGATCCTATTTCTTTTACCCAGTGAAAGTTGGGAATACAGGCGTGTGACCTCATATCTAGCAATAAAGTCATCATTTTGATAAAAGAACTAATAAGTACTTAGTCTGTTGCCAAGGTTTTTACATTATGTACAAAATTTCTTATTTTATTTCTTCATTTAATATTTCAAGTTTTAAAGCCATACACAATCACACACATGTGTGTGTTCATATTTTTGTGTGTGTTTGTAAATCTTTATTTCCTTCTTATCAAGTCAAGCATATGTTTAAGAAGCAATAAGATTACACACTATGTTTATAATATATTACATAAATCTATAGCCAAGGATGAAACTTTTAGTACATCTAAGCTTTTTTACTAAAGTTCAAAACCTAATTCTCAAGACTCGATTCAGATCTCCTAACAGTCTCATTTTCTGCCACTTCATTGTTCTTCATGATGAATCACCATTTCTAATGATCTCTGAACCATGCTTCTCTCTTCTGTGAAAACAAGGTCCTGATGGAATACCCTGACAGTTCTTACACACTTGTGAAGAACTATGAAAAGATGCCCAGTGGAAACAAATTAAGTGCAATGAGAAAGAGGAAAAATATTGTGTGCTGAGTATATTCCTAAACTCTTTGCTGACCTGAACTCAAGTGTTCGTCACAGTACACTAGGAAGTAGGTAGCTATGTCTTCTCTACTCCTACAGGACACAAGTAAACTGTGACTCAGAAGGCTGCAATACTTAAATGGTCACTCAAATATACGTGGTAAAGTCAAGATTCAAATACTTCATGTAACATATGAATATAGTCTCATAAACCCTGTCTCTTTCTACCTCTCCAGGAAGGGCATCCTGAGTATTAGGAGATATGAGACAGACGATAACAGATAGGAAAAGGGTCTGGTTAAATGGATGACTGAGGAGCAAGATAGTCATTTTAACATGAGCATTGTGAATAATGAACACAGACCATTAGTGACTGCAGAAAAGGTCTACTGTGGTTATTAATACAATTAATATTCAGGTTTTGTTAAAGCTCAGTTTAAGGATGCTTCTTAAAAACTTTTAAAGCCCACTCTTCCTTCTTACCTTTGTTAAGATCCTGCTTAGCAATCCAGTTTTGATCTTCTTAGTTTGTAACTTAGGGGATTTAATGTACTTTCATTTATATAATTTTTCATTTCTAGTCCCAAGAGATTCACTGAATTGAAGCTCAAATGCAGGTGGGTAAACAAATTGTACATGATTTCCTGAGGGAGGCAGAGTGTCTTGTTCACCTACTAATTGTTCTTTGAGTATAATAAAAGTAAAATACTCCTTGCCTTAGTCTAGTGGAATATATGAAACAAACATTATTATTAAACATTAAAATTCATAAATGAACTTTATTAGCATCTTAGACTTATAATGATAGAATAATTAATTGCACTACCCTTTCACTACCTAAAAATAAAGGAACAATACATTCCATTCTTTTACATAAACATGACATGATATGGAAAAGCTTCCTGTGTAATATTTATTTATAATAAGATATCCATTGTAAATATTGGAGAATCATGACACATCTTTATAACATATTTAATATATGGTTGATTTTCAGAAAAACTGATTTGGTTGCACCTCCATGTATTTTTAATTATATAAGTTTTGATGGATATATTTAGCGTTGCCAGGCTGTAGAATTATATTTCTTTTAAAAAATACATGAGAGGTCAGGTTGGGGGAAGAGTGGAGAGGGTAAACAATTAAAAGCGGTATCTTGATAGAGGGGGCCATTACGAGGTTAGAGTGAAACCTAGTACAAGGGAAATTCCTAGGAATCCATACAGATGACCTCAAATAAGACTCCTAGCAATAGTGAAGAGCGTGCATGGATTGTTCCTCTCCTGTAATCATATTGGTGACTACCCTAGTTGTCACCATAGAACCTTCATCTGGTAACAGTCTTACTAAGACCTCACAGGTCACCTGCATTTGATTTTAGAATGTTTGAAGTCCTGCTGCAACAGGCTGCCAAGAGTTGGGACAGCACTATAGGCAAGAACTCCCAGAAATGTGTTATTGTGATTCTCATTGCTAAATAATTTCCTGGGTAGCTGAAGCTCATATAAAACTACTCAAGTTCAAGCAGAAAATATTATGAAGAAGATTTCTCACTGACTGAGCTCACTTTTTTGTTGAAAATAATTAATGCTTATTTTCTGCTTGGGGAATTCAAGATGCAGATAAATCATTGTCCACAGGTTTTATGAAAATTATTTTTTCATTCTACTTTTGCCCATACTGACTGAAAAGACAGAAATATCTTTCTCCTTTCTCTCTCTTCCCCCTCTTCCCCTCCTACTTTTCCTTCTCCTCCTCCTGCTTCTGTCTTCCTTTTCCTCCTTTTTGGTACATTTTTTAACTACTTAATACTAATGCTAATTTCTGCTAACACATGTCCATGTCTGTCTGAAACAGGCTACCCAATAACGTTGCCTCAAAATCCTTGGCAGTTTGACTACCTAAAGACCTCCTCCCATCCTCCCATTTCCCTCCCCTTCCTCCCACTCCACTCCCCCTCCCCCACTCCTTTCCCCCTCCCTCTCCAGACTGAAGAGCCATCAGGTGGAAAGTCGAAGGTCCTTCCCCCTCCATCTAGGTCTAGGAAGGCGAGATTGCCAAGCAAAAATTGGGATCTTGGGGGTGGGGTGGAATAGGGGTAAGGGGAGATGGGGAGAGAAATGTGAGAAGGGGAGGATGGGGGGAACTTGGGGAATTGGGATGGTTGGGATAAAGGAAGGATGGATATGGGAGCAGGGAAGCATATATCTTAATTAAGGGATCCAGCTTAG